TTGAAGTGTGGCTTTCCTTTGCTGTGAAAAGAGGAGCCAATTCATGTTACCAATAATTTAAAACTCTTGCTCTGAAATTTTGAAATAAGATAAAATAAAAGGGCTTCTAGATGGCAGCCAGCATATATATATATATATATATATATATAAGATAAAACTGAATTTTAACACTGTTGTAATATTAGACAATAATAATTTGAATTTGATTTAAATTTTTACACACTTTATTTATCAAAATGAAATTTAATAATTTATTTCCATGATTTCTTTCTCAATTTTATATGTTTACATCTTTAATTTATTCCTACTAAAATTAATAGAATATAATTAATAATTAAAATATCTACATTTAAAATTTCTTTAATTTACAATTTTATTTAAATTAAAAAATACTTGTACAATACATAGAAAACTTATATAAGATCTTAAGTTCTAAGCATGTTGTTTTTGAAAAAAAAATAGGAAACTTGCTAGTGTGATGAAATTAAACTAAATTAGTATGATAAGAATTTTCAATACAATATTTCAAATGAAAACATATAAATTTGTAAAAAGTGATTGAAGGTGTTTTTATCAAATTTATATGCAATATCATTTGATTTTGACTTTGTTTGAGTACAAAGTTAAAAGAGTTTTTTGAATGTCACTATTAAAAAACATTTTTTTTATTCATAGTGGAGAAGTTTTCAAAAATTATTATAAACTTGTATTTAAACAAATTTATTATCTTATACATGTATACATGCCTAAAGTCATTTATTGAATTATAAAATAATAAGCAAATGAAATATGAAATATAGAGAAACTATTATTAGTAATATATTATTCTTCTACTTGCACAAAATAATACTGTTTTTAACTAATCAAGTTCATTTTTTTAGATGATTAAAAAAACTAAAAAAGTGATAATTCACTCTTACACTATTTAACAACTTAATTACTTATAGCTCACATTTATAAGATTAATGCAACATTGTTAACGTAAAATATATTTCCATAATATCGTTTTCTTGTTATTATTATTGATTATTTTACAATTTCACAAATAATTGAACTGATTCACAGCCATGTCATGCAAGAACAGGTAAATTTATTAGTCACTTGAGAAGGCCATGACTCCTCTTCAGTCCTGAGACTCTGTACCTTGGTGGGGGTTGGTGATGTCACTTCATTACTGTAACATCTGTCCAGCTTTCATTTCTCATGCCACATGCACCTCATAAATGTCTACTAACCCTCATTACACTTCCCTGCTTTGGAATGGAGGTCATTCAATGAAATTCCCAAATTTTCAAATTTTCAAAAGTCACAAGTAGTTTGGTAAAACTGAATTTGCAAAATGAGCTAATTGCTCTTGTTGACTTGCAATAACACGGTTTCAAAAGCCATGATAAGCTTTTTAGACTAATCATCTGAGCATAGGTTATGAACCATTTTAAGGGCTTCCCTCTTTAATGTTTGAACTTAGAAGCAGTCTTTGCCAGTTGCTGATAGCTATGCAATAAAAAGTTAAAAACAATGGAATAAAACAGTGAAAGGTTAACATGTCAAAATACCACATAGCTAACCGTTGCAATTTTGATATCACTAGCCTTTGATTCTTTGAAGTTTGGACTTAAACTTTCTTATTGTGTTTACCCTTGACTATGTCTATAGCTAGTTCTTAACTAATTTCTATTCTTGTACATGACTTTGGTCCCCAAACTAGACCAAAAATATCTATTTTTGAAAGTAAAGTGAGGTCACACCTATTCTGCAGGTTTGCCTCTTTTAGCCTCTTGTCTAGCACTCATTTACTCTACAGACTCAAAATAAGCACATGCCACCAATGAAGTTGTTGATTCAGATTAGGCACATTTACAAGTTCTTGCTGTTTTTCAACTAATCAAAACCTTTGTCTAATTGTCATATATATCATGGTTGAATTTTCCTCAATTTCTATTGATAATTTTTTAGCCTTTAATCACTCTACAGACTCAAAATAAGGACAGGCCACCATTGAAGTTGTTGATTCAGATTAGACACATTTATAAGTTCTCGGTGTTCTTCAACTAATCCATACCTTTGTCTAATTGTCATATATATCGTGGTTGAATTTTTTGACATCAGGCGTCTTTTTCTGTTGATAATTAATGATGGCTAATTGGCTATGAATTGTTGAAGCCACAATAAGAGAAAATAAAAGATACCAAAAATTCAAGGAAGTTGTTGGTTTGCAAGTGGACTACATTTATTTGTGTGGCAAAATACAAAGCTCAATTGTTTACAATCATGTAATTGTATTAGAAAGCTACTGATTATACAGGAGGTAAATAGCTATAGTCTAGGCAACAATTAATTGTTTGTTGAATTATATCTTCAAGGCCATGCTTGTAACTAAAACCCAAATCTTCTAGCTTCTTTGATGAAATCTCAGAAGGAACTTTGTCATAATTTTTCTCGATCTTCATATAGATATTTGAACCAGAATACACTTTGGAAAGAAGAGTAGCCAAGTTTGACAGTGTACAACTTTGACTGCTGCATATGTAACGGCCTTCTGCTTTATCATGCTCCATTAGGAATATGTGAGCATTGCATATATCTTCGATGTGAACTAAAGAAATTGACCCCATTCGTGCATTTACAGCAGATAATATCTTGAAGTGCTCAGTTTCACCTACATTTATGATCAACATGGTCAAGTGATAATAAATAAAATATTTCAACTCATGTAGAATTTCATGCACACAAGTATAATGGTGCATTATTTGTAACTGTACTTCATGATGCACATGGAAGCAGAGGTACAAAATATTGAGGGAACATGGAGTCAAAGATACTTCATTCACAAAATCAGGAAATAAATGGAAGTTGGTAAAATAAACATTTAATTTTATTACTTATACAATATTTAGCAATATAGCTCATAATAGACCTATTAACAACCAACAAGTTGTTAGTTTGAGTGAAAGTGTCTCAATTTCATTAAGTAAGGTCTCAGATGAAAAACTTGATTGAGAGGAGAGACTCTATTAAAGTTGATCGGGTTAACAAAATTTAGTTATCGGTAAAGTTGGTAAATATTTTGTACCAATAATATGATTATAAAAAACATAGTCATATTTTTAGATCATACTTTCTCTAGGGATGCCTCCTCATGCATTAATTGCTAGGGTTATTGAGTTTTTGTAGTTGTTTGAGAGAAATATATTTTATCAAGAGGAGGATTATTATATCTTATTAAATATAGTCATACTAACATATTAGTCTTTCTCTAGGGTTATAATATCTTGTTGTTTATCAAGTATCACACACATATCTCCACAATAATAAAATATTATTTACTTTGAACCGAAACCTTCATGTTTTTTACTTTTGTTTATTATCAAAAAAGTTTCTAAACAATGGAACATGTGTATGTGTGCTTTAAGGACCTTTATTTCTCCTCTTGTCCTAGAACTTGGTTTGTATCCCATCATTAATAACATAACATGTAGATTGATGACAAAATCACCTGTTAATGGTGACAGAAGAACTTTAACACTTGTAGGCACATTAGCAGTGAAGAATGGGCCTGCAACAGTGCCTGTAACGACTGACACAAGATCAATGCCATTCTCTTTTGAAAATTGAAATGCTGCTTCTTCAGTTAGAAGCTTGGAAAGTGCATAAACCTGCCACCAAAGAAAAAAGTCCTTAAGGAGAGGAACCAATTTGGTAAGATGAACAACTAGGGAAAAAGTTACTTATAAGTTATTAGTTTATTACCCATCCACTTGCTTGTGTGTTCCATACACTATCAGTTTGAATTTGGCAAGATTCATCAACAATAGGTTTCCAATTTCCATTGTTGTCTTTGGCAGTAATGGTACTTATGGAAGATGTGAAAATAACCCTTTTCACAGAATTGGATTTCAAACATGACTTGAGAAGGTTTATGGTTCCTTTGATTGCAGGGTCAATTATATTTGCTTTAACAAAAGCCTCTGCCAGCACAATACAAGGAATATTTCTCAATTATCAGTTTATTTTATAATGTTCAAAAGTGAAAAGTCCTTGTTGTGTTTGTCAGGTTCATGAAAAGCATTAAATTATAAGATAAAACTTTCTATTAGTGTTGTTTTTTAATCAAAATTAAAAGTTTTAATTTCGTAATGTAGGTAATAAAAGATTTTATTAAATATCAATACATATTGTTAAAATAAATCTTCAATTTTGATCGAAAAACAACATAACAATATTTGTGGTAGAATATATCTTAAATAATATTCATGGCATTACCATTGTTTTGATTCTCAGTGACATTGAATTCCATTGAAGCAGCAACATGAAACACACCAACACATCCTTTTACAGCCTCATCGAAGCTTCCTTCTTTATGCAAATCCGCTTGGAAAAATCTCAATTGGTCACCACCCTTCCACAAAGACAGAAGGTGCAATGATTTTGCTTTTGCATTTTCCCAAAAGAAAGTGAAACATTTATCATAATTAGTTTATAGAAATATTTGTACTATTATACAAAATCAAGCATTTACAATAATTCACTGCTCAAATAAGGAAGAAATTCATTGAGTTTCATTAGCTTAGAATGCATGTTATTTTAATTGTCACTTTTACTTTTTTTTGGTTTTTTCTACAAATAGAATTTGTTTTGTATTTAAAAGAAAGATAACTAATTTTTCAGATCTTTGATTAAAATGGAATATCAATACTAGCAGTAAAAATAATATATTCAACGATGGGGTAAACCATTTCAATAATTAATATAATATAAATTTTTTCCATTGCTTGGGATGTGCTTTCTCTCATGCATTATGCCCTGTTTTATCTAAATTTACACGACTATTACTAGGTATGTGACTTATATCTTAAGTAGAAGCCAAATCAAATTTTATGAATGAACAATGAACTAATTTTAGTATTACTAAATTTCATGGTTTAGTGACTCATTAAGATTGGTATATTTTGGCAACTTGGAGCAGATATGTAACTCAAATTCAATTGAAACAATGGAGAACGAAAAACGTCACAAGGTCATGAGCATTTGTGAACATTTTCAACTCGTTTAACAACAGAATAAAACAGTGGTCACAGAGAAATTGTTATTAATGGACTTCTAGAGTAGAGTCCAACAAGAACCAACAGGGGCTCAAAGTAGTCCAGCAAAGGGACCAAAATGGGCTTCAATATGGGCTTATAGGAGACAAATAGTGTATGGAACCAAAAAAAAGAGCCCAATAAAGTGAAATACTTGTATATTCTCCAAGGAATGATTGGGAGAAGAATTTTTCAGACAAAGGAAAGAATTGATCCAAATCCTTACCTTAGAAGACTATGTGAGTGTTTGCATCGAAACGTGATTTTTCATGTTTAATTGAAAGTAACAAATAACAGCTTCCACGTAAAATTACTATTGGACGTGGAGAGAGAAGAAAAAATTGCTTTACAAAATGAAAACCAAACACGCACTTCAGCAAAGAAATACTCATAAATACTCATTTTATGTATGCTCATGATTTCTAACAAAGATTAATTATCATTTTTAATAGTGGATACTTTATACCAATATATTATGGTTACCAAAAAAAGAAAAAAATATTTTTTAATTTAAATTAAAAAAGCTTATTAAACATATATAACAATAAATAAAATATTAAGGCATAAAATTTATGCAAATTTATTGTTTATTTGTTTTTAAAATTACCAAATTTTATAATACCTATATACTTTTTATAAACAATAAAACTTCAATAAAATACTTTAGGATTATTTAGAAACTAAAATAATAATTTAAAAAATTAAAAATGCTGCAGCATAAATTGCTTTTTTATTTTTCTGTCAACTTTATTCTCATCTTGTCGGCAAAGCTCAACAGGGTGTTGCTGAATTTAGTTAATTGAATTTATGATTATCCATCAAAAGAAGAGTTGAAATTAGTGGCATGAAAAAGTTGAAATTATAGTTTTCCAGAATAACCGGTGAGAGACACATGATGAGATTGGTGTATATCTCTTGTGGGTCTTCTGGAAAATATGCCATCACATAAGCAAGTTAAAATAGCTTATTCTGGAACTTTTAGCCTTTTGAATATACTAGAAAGTCACTTTCCTTTCCATCATTTTCTGTTTACATCACCTTTTAAATTCTAAAATCCTCGATGATTAATTCTTATATATTGAAAACTTACACTTTTTCTTTGTCATTAATTTTAACATCCTTATACTACTCAAGAGATAGAGTGTGAGTGTCAACAAGAAATCAAACACAAAGTTAAGTAGATTGTTGGTGTAGACAAACTTGTAATGTAAAATAATTGTATGTCATATGAACTCAATGCATATAGAAACACCTAAAGATAGACCAAATGAATATCCAAATACAAACACTGAAATGGGGTAAGGATGGTGAATTTATCACATCTTATGTGACTCAACAGGTTTCACAATTCATTGTCTAATTTATGGAGGTTGAACTTTGATTATATAATAAAAGCCTTCGGAGCACAAAATAGTTATATAAAATAGATCATCACATCAAAAGGAAAAATTAATTTACACTTTAAATTAGCAACACCAACTACAAAAAGAATATATAGAAGTTGGTCACTTTAGTTTTCCATTTGCCATGTTCTGATTAACACCCAATTAGTTTCCTAAACCAGCCACTAGATAATTCTTACAAATAATCAATTAATAACAATGCGAAAAATTGATGAAAAATAAAATTTGGGTTTAAAAATGTGACTTCTGTTGAAATCTACTATGCATCAGATCATGGTTCTCTGTCATGAACAATCAAGTTGTTTCTGCTGTCTCAGTTTTCATAATGTCAAAATCATGATTATGGAAGAACTGTTATCATGCACATAACTTCTGTTTCAATCAACAATTGCTTTGATACTAGTTTAATAGGAAAACAAAAGTGAAGAAAAAAAATAGTGGAAAAGGAAAAGGGTATTAGAGAATACTAACCAGGATCTCTGACAGTGGCATGAACCTTGCATCCCCTTTCAAGAAGAGCCTCCACCAGCCATGAACCAATATACCCTGTGGAACCTGTAACACAATATTTGGCACCAGGAACAACTTGTCCATTGCTTTTCACTTTTTTCAGCACTTCTTCCATTCCCTTCTTTGCTCTTTACAACCAAAATCCTGCAAACTAAACCAACCTGATACAGCCCTTTATCTGAAGAGCCTTGCCTAGCAAAGAGTTTTATAGTCATGCACAACAAAATAGAAAAAAATTTACACTTTGAATTAATAAAAGTTAAGTAATTATTATAAAAATTAATAAACTTATTATATATAATAGCAATTTTATTTTATTTTAATTTTCACTTTTAAGTAATACTATGTTAGTAGTTAATTCCTCTCATTTTCTTCATCTTACTAGTCTTCTTTCTCTCTCTCTCTCTTCTCTTCTCTTCTTTTTTATTTTATTTTATTTTTTATTCTTATAACTCTCTGTGGTAGTCTGGTATAACGACAGTGGAAAAATTACACAGGTGTTGCTTTTCCACCATTCCACTTTGCCAAATGTTGGAACTTAGTGCACGTGTCTCGGATATTTTACAGGGTATGATTCTTAACTAGAGATATTTTTATCCTTTATGTAAGGACTTAGGAATAAGTTAAATATCGTCGGTGGAATCTCAAATCTTGTACCATAATTTTATGTACAATCAGAATCAGATTGGAGAGTTTGGCTGTTATTTTTGTTTGCATGCATAAGGTTATCAAATGTTGGAATTCACAGGAATGTAATTCGTGACAAAAAAATTCCTAGGTACTTCGATATAAGGGTTATTGTTAATTTCAATCATAATTATGTTTGCATTGCTTTTTAAGGTTATGATAAGCGAAGTGGTACGTAATGATACAAACCAAGAGATTTTTGCTATTGAAACGCCTAAAAATTTCATGTCTGTGACACACGTGCTAAATTTTGTATCATAATTATCTACCAAATGAGATTTATGATTGAGGTTCCAAAACTCACGAATTTGAATAGTCTTAATCAACAAATTACCGGTTTGCTTGGAAAGGAAGCTAAATTAATTTTTGTCATTCATTCAAATTTTATGTGATTCATCTATTACAATAAAAAAAATAATAATAATGAATAGAATTTATTCTATTAATTTAATCTACTATCTTTTAAAAAATTCATTGAATTATGATAAAATATTTATTAAATTAAGATTTTAAAAGACTATTTTAACGTAATTTTTTTTAAATTTTAAAAAATTATATAATAATATAATGATTTATAAAATAAAGAGAGAAATAAAAAATATTTCAAAAAAAAAATTATTTAATTTTTAAAATAGTATTTTTATGAATGAATTTGATGAATTTTTTACTAGTTGGATGATTGAATTTTTATTTAAATTTTTAATGGATTTATATGGATTAATAGATTATTCTTATTCTATCTATTATAATTTGTCTAAAAAATTATCCAATCTATCTATTTGTCATCTTTATTCAAATAATATATATATATATATTAAAAAAAAAATATTCTTAATGTCCATTTTTTCTTAAAAAATTTATAATCTTTTACTATTACATTTTTTTTACTAATATATCTCTCAAAGATAAAATAAAAAATTATATATACTAAAAGTTAACTACTTATTTATTTATTTTAATAAAAGTATGGAGTGTTTTTCTAATAATAATATATAATAATAAATTCAAAAGCCAAATTTGCACATAACTTAATGAGAATAAGACAGTGCTGCTGCATGAGGCAAATACGACAAGAGTAGAAGAGAACTCGAATTTGAAAAGGGAAGAAAATTGAGATTCTGCTTCTCAATTGTCAAATTTAGATGATGATGTGAGCATTAATAATAGTTAGGTCAAGCCCTGTCTACATCAAGTTCATGTTTGGTGGACAGGAAACAGGGTGAGAAAATCAATTTCTAAATCTAGGGGTGACATAATGCTGACTAATAATTCATATGTTACTTTGCTTTAAATTTATAACATATATTGCAAGTTTCAACTTGGTTTTAATGGTTCATCCATATCTTTATTCTGACAAAGAAATATTTGTCTAAATCCATTGATCCATTCATGGGTGTTTGATGTAAACTTTTGTCTTAGCCACTATGTAAAAGGTTGGGAGGGGAATGCAGTTAGCATGATTGTTCTATTAATTTGTAAGTAGCTAAATAAACTATTATTTGTGTACATTTAGTGAAAGTTAATAGTGTAAATAATGTTGTTTTGAATGATACATTGTTTATTTTTATGATATTTTCTTATTGGTTGAATTTCATTTGTTTTTCATTAATTTTGAGAATGAAAATTACATTTTTAGTAGACTTAACATGAATTTGATGCAATAAGAAAAAATATATATAGAAATAGAGTATTAGAGAGTATGACCTTATTTGTTTACTGCTTTGAAAATATTTTTCTATTTTTTAAAATTTGTTTTCTCATAATATATTTTTATTCTCTAAATGTTTGCCATTTAGATAATTAAATTGAGCACTTGAGAAAATAGAAGGAAAAAAATGAAAAAATATCTCTCAATCTCTCTAATTTCGAAATATCTGTTTTAGAAAATATTTTATTTTTTTATCATATTGAAAATATTTTTTAAACTTCATAGATTTTAAAGGAGAAATTATTTGTTAACGGTGCAAAATTATTTTAATAAAATATATAAAAATAAAAAAGTGAAAATGGAATGAAATAGATGGTAAGTTATTAGGCATTTCTCTTATTTCCTATTTGTGCCTTTTTAGTGAAAAAGGAGGATTGATTCACCTATTTCAATAGTTTGCATGCTCTCAATGTAAGACAAAAGAATAGTGGGTAATGCAAATAAAGTGAAATGAAGTGTTTGTTTGGATTATTCAAAAATTGACATGTCCATAAAGATATTTCTATGTAAATACTTATGTTTGATCTCATATTCAGAAATTTGCTCTAAATCTAAGACTAATTTTACAAGCACTTAATTAAATGCACATGAAAGGTTTTGATTTTCTTCTAAATAAATGTTTGATAACTAAAATATTTTACTTTCTCAGAGATTTTAAGTTAAGAATATTAATTTTTCACATTTGATTTATCTAATAATTCTAGAAAATATAGTTTCTCAAAAATATTTTTTATATAGATTTTTTACTAAATATTTTTATGAATAGATGTAAATTTAACATTCTTGAGTTAAAAAAAATATTTTATTAAAAATATTCTTTTTCCTTAATATGTTGTAGTAAGATTTTTGTTTTTTTTAAGTAATATTCACAAATATTTTTAAAAATATTTATAACCAACCAAACAAATTTAATTATTTTAAAAAATCATAATTATCAAGATTTATGATTTTCAAAAATCATAATTTTTATACATGAAAAAATTTCACTTTTACTCAATGATAATACAGAGGTACTAAGTTTCATTCTTGAAGAATAAGATTGAATACTTCTGTTATATGACCTCATTTTGAGGGTAAAGACTAAAGTGAAAGGAAAAAAATGAAAGAAAAAGGCTACATTTCTTATCATTCATCAATTCATTTTGATTTGCATTTCTTGCTTTTCATTCATGTAGACTAAAGAAACAACCCCAGAATAAAATTTCTACACAAAAAGAAATAAATATTATATCTTTAAACGTGGTGCACATAATTAACGTTATATTTGTATAACAAAAATTATATCTTTAAACGTGGTTTACATAATTAATGTCCAATGTATATGCATACTTTTTCTCTGTATCGGAGATTCGAACAAATTCTCAAGTCTTGAGGAGAGTCAACTGTACAAAGTCAACCAACCAACAATATAATGAAACATGACATTTGTGACGTTATAAGTGAAAAAAAAACATACTGGTAAACATTATGTTTTAAAATTTTGGAATAATATGTGGTGTCGTATTCACTTATTTATTTAATATGTAAGTTAGTTAGTTATTTATTTTATTATAGTATTGATAAGGATATCTTTTGATTTTGTCAAAAATTAATCTATCTTAGAATCTGTATTAAGACTATTCCTTTTAACGTTGTAATTTTATTAAATTCAGAACTCGTATTTAAGGCTTTAAGACTCGAAAATCAACCATACAATTAGTTAAATCATCAAACGATAATATTAATACTTAAATTTGATTGCAACACATTAATTATCTATGTGACAAACACACATTTAGTTAAAATAATTTAAAACGATATATAAAATTCTCTTTACTATGGTTGTAAATTGTAATTATAGATTTAAAGAAGTGAATTCATTTGATTTTGTAAATAATTGTTTGGATAAAACATATTTTGTTGTATAAATATGATAAAATTTAATTTTAATTCTCATAAACTTTATTCTTTTAAATTGTCTCTATTACTATTTATTTATGCTACAATAAGTATATAGGCATGTAGCATTAGAAGGAATATAATACACAAATTGTTACCTTTTTCTTCACTTCCACCAGTGAAATTAAAGTAATAATATACAATTTTTGGAGCATCACTTCTGCAAGACAATATAACTAGGCAAGATAAACAAAAAAAAAAA